GCCGCGGCCGGACGGGCGCGGCGGGACTCCGACGCGGGCGCTGCGATTCCCCTACGGCAACTTATCAAAGCTGGGTGAAGCGCTGCCGCCGGCGCGACCCCCCTCGGTGTGGGCTCGCTGACCTCCCAGCCCGTCTACCTGTGGACGGAGCCCAGGGAGGGTTCGCAGAATGGGGCGGGGGAAGGAAGGGCGAGGGTTCGTTGGATCCACATTGCCTGAGCACGTTGCATGAGCAGCCCTGGAGTCCGGCGCGGGGTCGCGCACCCCCAGGGGCCCGGAACCCCGGGCCTGTGTCACCCTGGGAAAAGAGAAGCAGGTACGGAGCCACGTGGACGTGCCGGTCCCTGGGCGGGTCGCGTCCTCTCCGCGTTTGTGCTCAGCGCGCCGCGTGCTTTGACTGGCGCCCCACCCGGGCAGGCGCTGCAACGGAGAACAGTGCCTGGAACGTGGCTGCTGGTGCTCAGGGGTTGGGAGGAGTGATTCCGGGAGAGCCTGACTCCTGAAACTGCTGCTCGATCTGCAGTCTTGGAGCCGCACTGGGTTGGTGGTACCCGGAAGCACCCCCAGACTTGCAGAAAAAGCATACCGCAGAGGAAGCCGAGGCATGGCTGCTCAAGGTCCAGCAGGCCCATGTGCAATTTTCCTCTGACAGTTCCTGGCTGCTGTTGCCACGGTGATGATGGCTGTGCCGTGTCGTTATCTATCAATCAACAGTAAGAGAAGCGCTGCAGTCGAGATATTGTTCAACAGACGGAGTGCTTTCTGTTGGACACTAAGTACTGCTACAGAGTTTTTAAAACAAAAAACCTTAGGTGTTTTTTGAAAACTGTACGACTGAATGACTGGTTGAGGCTTGAGAGGTGTGGCAGCTGAATAGGCTCAATTTTAGACGTGGGGGTTGGAGTATATGCATACTTTGCCAGCTGTACACCCTCCAGAGTACCATTCAGCATGAAACCTGAGCCTGGAAAACCAGAACTGGCTTCAGGATGTTACTCAGAAGTGCTCCTTGTGACATATTTGCTTCATTCAGGTCCATGTTACTGCTCTTTGGTGCTTTTATACTGTGAGGCCCCAAACTGATGATCTTCCTAAAGATTCCTTTTTTGTTGTTGTTTGTTTTGTTACAGATTCATGGGCTCCAGGTAAATCAGAGGAACATGTATCCTGAACATAAATACATGGGCCGTGCTGTGACACTGAAGCGTAACTGGGGTGCAGAAGTCCAGCCTGCCTTGCACTCACCCCTAATCCATCAGCAGAGACCACATGGTTTCCAAAATCACCTAATTTTTGCAGATGCTTATGTTGTAGTGGTTTTTAAAAAATAAATGTTGGCCATGTGTTCCTGACAGCCTACACTGTAGATGGCTTCCTCTGACCTGTGTAATTCTGCTTTTATGTTGGCAGTAAGAGGGAGAATTTGCGGGCTTCTGTTCTGGGGTCTGAAGGTATAGAAGAGCCATCTGGCTGCTTCATCTTCCACCAGGTGTGTGGTGTGGCTTCAGAAGCAGAGTTGTGTTTTTTGGCCAATGTTTTATTGAATTGAAAATGCAGCTGCTAGTGAGATTCAGAGTAATCCATGAGCAGGAAAAAGACAAAGCCTGTGTTTTTTTAAGTTTTGGTAGAGGTGCCTGTGTAGTAGACCTGGTAAGAATGTAGGTGGAACAAGGGTACAGCAAGCAGACTAAAAGGTAGGAAACCAAATAGTGTCTAAACCCATGAAAGAAATACATCTAAATTTAAGTTTTAAAATAAAATAACCAGAAACAAAATGCTGTTTATGTTGTACATTATTTTCTGTTTTTAATTTACAACTGCTCTCAGGGTAATCCACCAAATGTCAGTAATTAAAAGAAAAAAATATTTATGCATACAAGAAC